GGGGTGGGGGGAGGGAGGAAGAATTGGTATCTACAATACCAGGATAACTAAGCTACTTACAGGTTTTCCAACTGCACCAGGGGAACCCGCTGCCCCATCTGATCCTGGTTCTCCCTATGGTAAATGAAAGATTGAGATGGGATACCTGAGGTTAACTAGCAAGCAGGACACAGTTTAGCTCCCAAAAGTTTTATACCGTCTATATTAGGGGCTGGTCCAAAGCCCACTGAAGTTGATGGAAAATCTTTCTATTGACTTTAGCAGGATTTCGATCAGCACCTTGATACACATCTTAGAATCAGTCGAAACTCAGAAACTCCGCTCTATAGAAAATTCCTGTATTTCTCATTCTTTTTTAATCTCTTGCTCAACACAATTTTTGGAGGGGGGGGGGAATCTTTGAATCATTCCATTTGGGTAAAATCCAACTGTTTCGTTCCAATCTTCGCATTTAAAAAATGAATATTATAAATTACAATGTAAATTATATTGCAATTCATCTTGTTGATGTATATTCCAATGGCTAATAATAAGGTTTCATTTCAAATGTTTTTAAATCAAATTTTGCTAAAAGTGACATGATACCACAGAAAGATCCAATTTCAACAAAATGCCATTTTTCATGGTAAATACAGGCCCTTCTGACCAGCTCTTCTACATCTAATTATTGTTTGCAATATCCTCTTTTCTCGTTTCTATCATGCTTTAAAAAAAACTCAATACTTTACCATTGGTCCAATTTCACCCTTTGGACCCCTGGGTCCTCGTTGTGTGTTATCGATGCCTGTCTCACCCTGAAAGCAGCAGAAGCAATGAAAAAGACTGGTGTAAGTGAAGCACCAAGGCAGCCGTCATGTGTTGTAAAACAGTCCATCAAACTTCAACATCCATGTTTCCTTTTTTAACACACATGGTACGAAATATAGTACAACAGTCGCATGGCACAGGAGTCGTGGTGCAGGAGTGGAATGGGAGTATAAGGAAACAATGTTTTCAATTAGTAAATAATTGGCCTGTTAACATAAATTAGTATCGGGATGCAGGTGCTTGCTTCATGTTGCTCCTGCCCTGGCATGACTCCAGAGGGGCTCTCTTGTGCCCGTCCAGTAATCGAAATAGTAGGTATGGTGCAGTATAATTGTGCCTTTCATAGTGTCTGGGAGCTGGGAAGCTTATGCCAGTCTGTTTAGATGACTCTTCTCATCAGACATGTAATATAGCCTGGCTCTTGCGTAGAGCCCTGCAAATCTGCAGATACCCACTTTGTCGCTGCAGGTATCTGTCTCCACGGCTAGAGATGCGGATATCCGCCGTTCTTTTTGCAGACACAGATGCGGATACAAATTTTGCATCTAGAACCCTGCACATCTATGGATACCCACTTTATATCCAGGTGTATTCATATCCATGAATGGGGATGCAGATATCCACGGATCATTTTTGCAGATATGGATGTGTGCAGTGTTCCCTGTATGCTGAGTATTTGGGTGGCCACCCAGTACAGATGCCAGTGCTGCCCATCTGAGCAGCAGAGCGCCTGCAGCCTCCCACAGCCGGCAGTATGTATTTCTATTAGTGGTGCACATTGTTAGATGCTTTGGTGCACATAACAAAATTTATTCCACACACGAATGGAAAAATTTGATGCAAATATGGATATAAATTTTATATCAACACAGGGCTCTACTCATGTGTTTCTTATGTGGCTCTGATTTGCTTCATGTGTCTCAGCCTCACATTTTGACTGCACCTTTGGGTGTCAAAATAGGACTGTCTCCTATTTACTAATGAGGCCACCTGTCCCGCTTATTTGTACATCTTATTGGGGCAGCCCCATGCTGGCAGACACCTGAAAACAGGCATGTGACTGACATGTATATGGTGACAGTATTTTAACATGTGGCTGTAATCTGGAAGGGGAGGTAGCTGCCGAGACAGCGTGTGTCCAATTGGTTCCCACCAAGGGCCTCGTTGTACATCCCTAACACAGCCAGGACCGGATCTGCAAGTGGTGACTTCACTGGAGCTACAAGAGACCGAGGGTCTAGCTTCCGTTCTGCTGGAGCTCTGGGTGCACCAGGAACGCAGAGCCGGCCTTGTGGCTAAGCCAAGGCAGAGCAGGGAGAGCTAGCAGGTGTAACTCCTGACAAAGACCAAGGGATAGTTACCGGATCGCCTCGCAGTCCTCGGTCACCTCGTTCGCCTTCGGCTCCTTTAACGCCTTTGTTGCCCTTTCAGGAGACAGGGAGAGAATTAGAAACACTGCCCAGAGGGCTCGCACGCCGGCCGGGATGGGGGAGTGTGGCAGGAGAAAGGAGGCATGGCTGTGGCTTCCCTCTGCCCCAGCAGTCCTAGGCCTGGTCCCTCTGCCCCTTGAAAATACAGGGAGCTGGTGTAGTTTAGAGTAGCCCTCAAGTTGCCCTCCCGCCGTGGGACCAGACACAAGATGAGGGGAGACGTAAGCCCTCCCTTTCCCAAGTTGTGTGGCGCGTCCCTCAACCCGGCTGGATCCACCAATGCAATGCAACATACCCGTCTGCCAGCACTTCCTCGCTCCCCGGAAGAGCCTGGGAGGCCTCTGTCCCCCTGCCAGAGAAAATGGCGTTAGCAGAATTTCTGCCGCGTTTGAGAACTGGACCCCGGCGGGTCCTCCCGGGGGAGCGTGTTAAAATGACTTACTTCTTCTCCATCTATGCCGTCCAGGCCCGATTCTCCCTTCTCGCCCTACGAGACAAAAGCAGCACGGTGCAAAGGATCAACCAAACACACAGGTGAGGGGGAACCTAGGGCACCCTCCCCTGCCGCCAGCCATCGGCACAGGTCTGTAAAGCCTCCACCTACCTTTTCTCCTGAGATTCCACGGAAGCCCTGAAGAGAAGAGAAAGCAGAGGGTTACTCTCCCCCAGAGACTTCCCTTGCAGCTATGGAGGGATAGGGCTGTCGAGCCAGGGTTGCAAACCTCCCCCAGTCAAAGTGGAGAGGGGAGGCAGCCAAGGAGGCAGCAACCTTATAGGCTTTCAGCTGGCACCAGTAGGAGCTGGACAGTGCTTAATTTGTGCCAGCACCACTGGGCCTGGCACTTCAGAACCCGGCACCTCTGGGCCCGGCACTTTTGACCCGACACTTCAGAACCCGGCACCTCTGGGCCTGGCACTTCTGACCTGACACTTCAGAACCCGGCACTTCAGAACCCGGCACCCCTGTGCCCGGCAGTCCAGAAACCGGCACCTTTGGGCCCCACAGTCCAGAACCCGGCACCTCTGACCTGACACTTCAGAACCCGGCACCTCTGACCCCGGCACTTCAGAACCCAACACTTCAGGACCCGGCACCTCTGGGCCCGGCAGCTCGGAGCCAATTATGAAAATAAACAAACCGCTTGAGCCCTGACACCTCTTTCCTTCCCAGATAAGCCTGGAGAGTTTGGATCAATCTACTTGGGGAGCCAGCAGCCCTATTTATTCAGACAGCTGTTCGCTAAGGAGCTCTGCCAAGCGCAAGGAGCGCTCGAGCTGCTCCTGAAGGACAGGATGGCCTCAAAGTCGCTGCAAAGCCTGGGAAGGAATCCTCACGGCCTTTGACAGAGTGAGCCCTTCCACGGAGTAGCTGGCCAGAGCCGCAAGTGGTTATCGTGGTGGGGTCGGCCAACGTTCCCCCCACTCTCCAGTCCTCCTCACCCCACTCGGAGAGTATCGGAGAAGAGGGAACCCAAGATTTAGGGGATCTTAGGCCAGGTCTACACTAGCCCTGGAAGGTCGGGTTAAGATACGCAACTTGACGTAAAAGTCGTAGCTGGAGTCAGCTTATATTAAGCTGAACTTGGCGCCATCTTCACAGAGGGAGGCCGATGGGAGCAAATGCTCCGGTCAGCTTCCCTTTCTCCTCATGACTGCCAGGAGTACCGGCCTCAGCCAGAGGTGCCCTCGGTGGTTGATTTACGGGTCTTAACTAGACCCGCTAAATTGAATGCCAGAAGAGCGATCCCCGGCATGGCGAGTGAAGATGTGCCCTGAGTCCAGCGGGGACTTCGGAGTGCAGCTTGTACGGTCTCGCTTGCCTGAGCGAGACCCAGGCACAAATTTGCTTTCAGAGATTGGCAGCTCCCCCCATTCTCATGGTGCATCACAAAGCAATGTCTATTTTAGCCAGTGGCCTTAATAAACACTTTACTCCTTAAGCAAACCCCCTTCTCCTCACCCTAAGGACCTCATGCCTGAACCTGTTTCTTCCGTACAATAAATCTAGATCTTGAGGCCGTTCCAGACTGGATCTCTTTCTGAGAGAGATGTTCTAGCCCAGCCACAAGATGTGGGTTTGGTACGAAATCCCTGGGAGAAAGTCTCTGGCATGCAGCAGAAGGTCCCTTCCTTCCGCAGAATCTATGAATCTGTGACTATTTATCATAAAACCTGCAAATCTCCCCAAGTTCTGGCTGGTTTGGGTCCCCTTTTGAGAGCCACTGTTGAATACGTCCATTGAAAACAACAGCCGTCTTCTCACTTTGCTCCCAGTTGCAGGTTCCCTTCCACACAGAGTCCCTCTCCTGAGCCAAGATTCATATATGATGATGGTGTCAAGACCGTCTATCTCCACGCTTCTCTCCCGGCTATGGGCCAGCTGCAAAGGCTCCCAACGGTAACGTTATTTGGTCGGCAGACTGCGTCTGTGCCGTTGGATTGATGCACGTGGCATCCTATTGTTCCTTCACATTACAAAGCACTTAAATCCTGAGGCCAGGACAGATGTAGAAGGCATCATCTTTCTGCCAGGTTTCCTACTTTTGCTTAAGATCCCTAGGAGGGGGAAAGAGCTGCACTGCTTGACACCCACGTGGGATCCGGCTGTCTTGTCTAGAGGTTTGTTAAAGACATACCTTGACTCCTCGCTGACCAGGACACCCTTGGAATCCTTGAGTCCCGTTGACACCAGGAGGACCTCGTTCGCCCTATTGCAGGAAAGGAGCAATTAGTCATTGTCTATAACACACCCAACGATGCGCCCTAACTTAGTGTCATTACACAGTCGACTGGTTGGACTGTACCAGACCCTGGCAATGCGCAGCAGGGCTGGGCATGTTTACATGATAAAGTGTAAAAGTACTTCCCAGAGGTCAGCATTTGACAGGGGCCGGCGGCTACACGACACGGGGGGAGGGAGGAGGGCAATCCCTGTCGTGGGAAGCAACGGAACGAGAGGAAATGCTTGCTCAATCGTCTCTAGCCTCTGAAACACAGTCTGGTTTCAGGAGGTCCTCCGGAAAGCAAACACTCTCTGGATGGATCCATAACGTAATCCTCCCCTTAACTATTCAGACCCAGCTCCCCAGGCGCACAGTAGCTGAGAGGAGAATTTGGCGTCTTTCCATCATGTTGCTGGATGGATGAGTAAAACCAGCCACTTGGCCTCCATCTCACCACCTGGCACCATGCACCACGGAGCATTTATTCCTACTCGGGCCACCAGCTCCCTAGAACCAAGGGTTCCTCCCTCTTCCTGCCCCAGCCAGCTTATGCCCCACATCCTCTCCTGCAAACAAGTCCTAGCTCCCCTCCCCCAACACAGCCAGAAACAAGCTGAAGTCAAGCACCTCTTCCTTCCCCTAAGACAATACAGCTCTAGGCAGTTACTTACAGGTCCACCTTCATCGCCTGGATAGCCTCGGTAGCCGTTCTCACCTGGGACGCCCTGAAAAGCAACGCAAAGCAGTTATTTTTCACGTAATATCGCAAGTTTCCTTTCTACAATCTGTGCTCCCCCTTTAAACCCCCGCTCGCAATATCCCTGGATTTAATACACCTCAGTCGTTTGTGTCGTATAATCCATTGACAAACTTGTTACATCACACAAGCCATCTGTCTGTGACCTCCACAGACCCTCTAGCTGTGCAGATTGCTAGTCTAGGCAACCACATTTTTTCTATCCCTGTGATTCTTCATTTTCCCAACGCTGCCCCATCCGATGGCTGTGCCGGCTTGCTGCGTCTTGTCCCGAATCCGATTGTAACTCTTTGGGGCGGGTTCTGCCTCCTACTGGTTGTGTGCTGCACCTGGCACAGTCAGACTCTAACCTACTAGGAGACACTAGAAGGACTGGAAGAAGAAGAAATTCTGAATGAAGACCCTTGCGATGTGACACGGAGCCCTCCAACTTCATTAGGATCACCTCTAAAATTCGATCCTCCTCCGCAGTCGTGATTTTAAAACAAGCACCTCTAACACCACCACCACGAGTGGCATTTTACAACTCAGAAACTTTCTGTTTTTTCCTGAAAAGCCCTTTTAACAGAATAACCCGGGGGGGCTCATTCCGTGCTGCTGCGTCTATGTTTCTTTATTAAGGAAGAGATCTGAAAGCTGGAGAGGAAACATGAATCTAAGCTTGGAAACGTGATGCCGCAATGTACCTTTGGTCCAATGGTCCCAGGCGCTCCTCTATCTCCTCGTTGTCCAGAACACTTGCACGCCACTTGGCAACAGGCTTTCTCCGCGACGCCGTCCTGTAATGAAAGAAAGCTGTTAGAAACTCAGGCAGGAGATGAACTCCCTAAGCATCCTTCACTCTCCAGCACTGCCTGATGTATCCATATTCAGGACGTGCACTTTTGTAGATTAAGAGGCCAAAGTATATCCCCCCCCTCTCGTACTGCAGCGAATGCTTGCAGAAGTTCAGGGTAAGGTTTCATTGCAAGGTAATGACCTGGATTTTAGTGCCTCAAAGCCAGATATGGATGGAGAAAAATATTCCCAAGGATTTTAGCTGCTTTTAGAAGGAATTTTACCTCCCCTCTAATTGGCAAGCACTTCAATTTGCTCTTCCCAGATCTCCACGCAAGCAACGGTGTGTTTGTACGAATGCCCACATCAGAGTCAAGCAAACTCCTTTTCCGGCAGAAATGGAAGTCATTCGGACAGATTAGATCCCATATGGATGGAGAAAAATATTCCCAAGGATTTTAGCTGCTTTTAGAAGGAATTTTACCTCCCCTCTAATTGGCAAGCACTTCAATTTGCTCTTCCCAGATCTCCACGCAAGCAACGGTGTGTTTGTACGAATGCCCACATCAGAGTCAAGCAAACTCCTTTTCCGGCAGAAATGGAAGTCATTCGGACAGATTAGATCCCATAAGC